ATTTTGTTTCTTGTATTCCATTTTGATTAATTGTTTTGTAATATGCCCAGAATGAGTTAATGAAAATATGAAGACGTGCATGTAAAAGCTGTGTATGTATTATAGAACTGTACTCACAATATTCTTTTGTTTCTTATCTTAGCTTAGCCTTGGAAGAGGCAGGGATAGTATCCAATTATTTCTTTGTACTAACAGCATTTGTTTCTACTATGATACAGTTAAAAGTTAAAATTTTACTCCATGGGAAAATCTAAATTGTTCACATACACAGCCTTGACAAGTATCCAGTAAAATTTCATTCTGTGATACAATATAAAGGGAGTATAATGAAATAAAGATTCAGATCGTTCTTTGGAAGCTGGTGTGCGTGGATTTCTTTCATCCAGAGAACGGTCTCTTGAGCTCAACGGGGAAACCGAAACCTACCAGTGGTCATTAGAAGCACAAATCCCTTTCAGTGCTGACCTCAGCTTGGCTCTGACTACTCTCTGCCTGATCTCCTGGCACTGACCTCGGCTTTCCTCTGACTATTCTCTGCCTTATCTCCTGGCACTGACCTCGGCTTTCCTCTGACTATTCTCTGCCTGATCTCCTGGCACTGACCTCGGCTTGGCTCTGACTATTCTCTGCCTGATCTCCTGGCACTGACCTCGGCTTGGCTCTGACTATTCTCTCTGCCTGATCTCCTGGCACTGACCTCCGCTTGGCTCTGACTATTCTCTGCCTGATCTCCTGGCACTGACCTCCGCTTGGCTCTGACCACTCTCTGCCTGATCTCTGGCCAGCAACTCAACAGATCTCCACAGCGTTCCGTAACGACTCCATACTTTAACTCCTGCTGTAGGTATTCGGCTGGTCCCCCCGGACAGTGCCAAGTGCTGGGCTGCGCCGGTGCACCAACCGCATGCACACCTGTGGCTCTAATGCTCTCGCCTTCCTCAGCTGTCTGGTTCAGCTTCTGCGTGTTGGAACCCAGATAGAAGGATCTCTCCAGCAGACCACAGACATGCTCCGCCATCTTGCTGCACCCACCACGTGGGCCTCTCTCTTCTGCATTTAGAGGTGGCGTGGCTGCCTCTTTCAAGGAATCTCGGCATCAGCTCCACCTGCCTCCTCTCATTGGACAACCCTCCAGCCATCTCCAAGCTGTTTCCTGTGGCCCCTATTTTCCCATGCCACACGTTAACTCCTGCACGGCCACACGGACGTTCTCCCACACTGGAAGCACACTTGACTGTAGCGCAGACATCCTCTACAGCGGTGCCGGCATTTACCAATCACTCGATTGCCTCCCTGCAATCATGACACCACTTCACACGCCGACAGTTCACCGACATTGCTGTTCCACTGGTTGTCACCAGCAATGGTTGCATTTTTCCTGCTCTCCAAGTTGAGCCTCTGCTGACCGGATAGCACAGTTCCACAACATGGTGACAGGAGCCGCCATCATTCCAGCACTTTGTCACTTTTAACTTTCATTTGCATGCCCATGACAGACTCCTCCACATTGCATGGATGATCCACACCAGGGGGTCTCCAGACCTTCTAAACATAGGGCCACTTTACTGTCCATCAGACTTTCGGGGGACTGGACTGTGGCCATTGGGAGTAGAAATTGTCAGTGGGAGTAAACAATGCATCTTTGGTATTAGGGGGACAAATAGCGCCCTTTCATTGGTGTCAGTGGCAGGGATGATGCCCCCTCATTGGTGTCAGTGGGGGGAAATAGTGCCCCATCATTGGTGTCAGTGGGGGGAAATAGTGCCCCATCAATGGTGTCAGTGGGAGGAACAGTACCCCATCGTTGGTGTCAGTGGGAGGAATAATGCCCCATATATGGTGTCAGTGGGGGGAAATCGTGCCCCATCAATGGTATCAGTGGAAGGAATAATGCCCCATCATTGGTGTCAGTTTGAGGAATAGTGGCCTACTGTTGGTGTCATCGTGCCCCATCATTGGTGTCAGTGGTAGGAATAGTGTCCTGGACAACACATCTTTGGTATTAGGGGGAGAAATAGTGCCCAATCGTTTGTGTCAGTGGGAGGAAGAGTGCCCCATGATTGGTTGCAGTTTGAGGAATAGTGTCCTATTGTTGGTGTTATGGGGAGAAATAGTGCCCCACCGTTGGTGTCGGTGGCAGGGATGGTGCCCCATCATTGGTGTCAGTGGGGGGAATAATGCCCCATCATTGGTGTCAGTTTGAGGAATAGTGGTCTACTGCTGGTGTCTTTGGGGGGAAATAGTGCCTCATCATTGGTGTCAGTGGTAGTAATAGTGCCCCATCATTGGTGTCAGTTTGAGGAATAGTGGCCTACTGTTGATGTCATTGGGGGGACATCGTGCCCCATCATTGGTGTCAGTGGTAGGAATAGTGCCCCATTGTCGGTGTCAGTAGGAGAAATAGTGTCCTATTGTTGGTGTCAGTGGTAGGAATCGTGCCCCATCGATTGGTGTCAGTGGGAGGAATAGTGGCCTACTGTTGGTGTCATTGGGGGGGAAATAGTGCCCCATTGTTGAGTGTCAGTGGTAGAAATAGTGCCCCATTGTCGGTGACATTAGGAGAAATGGTATCCTATTGTTGGTGTCAGTGAGGGGAAATCGTGCCCCATCATTGGTGTCAAAGGGAGAAATAGTGCCACATTGTTGACGACAGTAGCAGTAATTATGCCCCATTGATAGGAGGAAAAGAATAGTGTCAATCAGTGGAAGGAAAAGTACCCCAAGGGCCGGATAAAGACAAGCAAAGGGCCACATCCAGCCCCCCGGCCGCAGTTTGGAGACCACTATTCCACACTATAAGCACTTCAATCTCACAAGCCGTGCACGTGTCACTGGCTGCAATTTTCCGCACGGTTGCTAGTAGTAATGGCTACTTGTATGCAGGGAACCCACTGAGGAGCCCCCACATGTAGCGCAGACCTAGTGGTTGGTTCTGCTGGTAAAACCCAAGTTCTGATCCCTTAATGGCGTAAGCAGTCAGGCGTAGTGGGTTTTCTTTTTGTAGAACTGGGATAGGGAAAAGCTTTGGGATGCCCAGACCTAAACAACTGGAACATGGACACCATCTTGAAGCAATTAACAGAAGTAAAGTGGATCTTTCTGCACAAAAGGTAGCCACAGCATTAGCAAGAGGGGGGCTTCCTCTAAGGCATAGCTCCTCAATCAAGAAGGGGTGTACAGGCAACAGTCGGGTGTACAGGCAACAGTCTGTCCATCTCAGGATTCTCTGTGGCCTCCTCACTGTGATCCAGGCCGTCTGAAGGCCTCCTTCACTTCAGCTGACTCAAGGTATCCCGGGAAGATTCTTTAGACCAGGGTTTCTCAACAAGGGTTCCTTCAGAGGTTGTTAGGGGTTCCTTGAGCAATTCCTGCCTCTCAGATACGTTTCCACTAATGCCCATGATCTATTTAGCCATCTGTAAGGGCGTCATTCTTCCCATTTTTCCTACTGACCACAAGTGTGAGGAGAATTTTTCCTACTCACTATCACACAAATGTATCCCGAGTTGTGTATATATAGCAATGTTTAGCAGGGGTTCCCCGGAGTCCGGAAAGTTATTTCAAAGGTTCCTCTGTGTTGAAAAGGTTGAGAAAGGCTGCTTCAGACATTGCCTTGGTATTCCTGCGATCTTGGGGGTGATCCTTCTGCTCCTTGGTGAGCTAGAATCATCCAGAACGTCTGAAGGCCTCCTTCACTTCAACTGACTCAGGGTATATCGGGAAGATCCTTTAGACCAGGGTTTCTCAACAAGGGTTCCATGGAACCCTAGGGTTTCTCCGGAGGTTGTTAGGGGTTCCTTGAGCAATTCCTGCCTCTCGGATAAGTTGCCACTAATGCCCATGATCTTTTTAGCCATCTGTAAGGGCGTCATTCTTCCCAATGACCACAAGTGTGAGAAGCATTTTTCCTACTGACCACAAGTGTGAGGAGCATTTTCCCCACTGACCATCACACTAATGTATCCTGAGTTGTGTATATATAGTCATGTTTAGCAGGGGTTCCGGGAGTCCTGAATGTTATTTCAAAGGTTCCTCTGTGTTCAAAAAGGCTGCTTTAGACATTGCCTTGGTGTTCCTGCGACCTTGGGGGTGATCCTTCTGCTCTTTGGTGAGCTAGAATCATCCAGAATGTCTGAAGGCCTCCTTCACTTCAGCTGACTCAAGGTGTCCCAGGAAGATTCTTTAGACCAGGGTTTCTCAACAAGGGTTCCATGGAACCCTAGGGTTCCTCCAGAGGTTGTTATGGGTTCCTTGAGCAATTCCTGCCTCTCAGATAAGTTTCCACTAATGCCCATGATCTTTTTAGCCATCTGTAAGGGCGTCATTCTTCCCAATGACCACAAGTGTGAGGAGCATTTTTCCTACTGACCACAAGTGTGAGGAGCATTTTTCCTACTGACCATCACACCAATATATCATGAGTTGTGTATACATAGTCATGTATAGCAGGGGTTCCTGGAGTCCTGAAAGTTCTTTCAAGGGTTCCTCTGTGTTGAAAAGTTTGAGAAAGGCTGCTTTAGACATTGCCTTGATGTTCCTTTGACGTTGGGGGAGATCCTTCTGCTCGTTGATGAGCTAGAATCATCCAGAATGTCTGAAGGCTCCCCCTAAGCCTTGAAAGGTGTACCAGCACTTCCAGGCAGGGTCTATCTCTAGCAGGCAAAGGACCCTGCTACTCTCACCCTTCTATACCTCTCCCAGCCCCCTGCTGGTCACTTTTCCTGGTCAAGGATTGGCTGAGGCTGTATACAAGGACAGCTCAGGCTTTACGCTCTCCACCCACTATGGTCCAGAGATTTCTGGAATGACAGGAGGAGACAGGTAGGCAAAAGATAGTTACAGCTCCACTACTACATCAGAGCCCAGCTCCTACCTAGGAGGGTGCTACACTCATAGTAATCCACATCTGCTGAAAGAAACTAAAAAGGGACATTTTATTAAAAATAAAATATTAGTTAATACACCTCCAGGGTTGTGTGGGACCCCAGGAAGACAGGACTTCAGTGAGGAACATTTCCCTCACTCAGAACAGAAACATGGCTTGTCCCCGTGTGAGATCTCTGATGTCTGGAAAGGTAGGACTTATCTGAAAAACATTTCCCGCACACAGGGCAGGAATACGGCTTCTCGCCCGTGTGAGATCTCTGATGTCTGGAAAGATGGGACTTCCTTGAAAAACATTTCCCGCACTCAGGACAGGAATACGGTTTCTCCCCCATGTGCAATCTCTGATGGTTGTAAAGCATTGATTTATATGAAAAACATTTCCCGCACTCAGAACAGGAATACGGCTTTTCCCCTGTGTGAGATCTCTGATGTGTGTTAAGATTAGACTTCTGTGAAAAACATTTCCCACACTCAGGACAGGAATATGGCTTCTCACCCGTGTGCAGCCGCTGATGTTTGTAAAGATTGGACCTCTCTCGAAAACATTTCCCACAATCATGGCAGGAAAATGGCTTTTCCCCTGTGTGATATCTCTGATGTAGGGATAGATGTGACTTCTTTAGAAAAAATTTCTCGCACTCAGGGCAGGGATATAGTTTTTCACCTGTGTGAGTCCTTTGATGTTCACTAAGTTTGGATTTAAAACTGAAACCTTTCCCACACTCAGGACAGGAATACGGCTTCTCATCTGTGTGAGTTCTTTTATGTTCATTAAAATTGGATTTAGAAGCGAAACATTTTCCGCACTCAACACAGGAATATGGCTTCTCACCTGTGTGCGATCTTTTATGAATATTAAGTTTGGATTTAGTACGGAAACACTTCCCGCACTCAGGACAAGAATACGGCTTCTCACCTGTGTGAGATCTTTTATGCTCATTAAAATTGGACTTCAAACGGAAACATTTCCCGCACTCGGGGCAGGAATGTGGCTTCTCCCCTGTGTGAGATCTTTTATGCACAGTAAGATTGGATTTAAAATTGAAACACTTCCCGCACTCCGTACAGGAGAACCGCTTCCCTGTTGGAAGGCCGGCCCGGTCCCGCACAGTCTGAGGGTCCTCAGGATACAAGGAATCCGATGGTCCATCTACACTGGGTGGTGCTGGATGGACATTGGAGGGAGCCGGGTTTTCTCCTGGACTATACTGTGTGATGTCCTCATCTTCTACTTTCCAGTCTGGAGACAAAGTGAGACAATCCTCGGAGGTTTTCCTCATCTCCCGGCCATGGACTAAAATACAAAGACAAAAAGGATTACTAGACAGGAGCTGATTGGTTCCCCCAAACCAGGACTCCACCCACATCAGGCAGCTTGGTCTCTGAGGAGCTTACAAGTTGAATGGTTCCTCTTGAGCTCTAGGCTCTTGTCAGACAGATAGAGATCCAATGAGAACTTTATCATCTGGACCAATCGGTGAGCAGTATGGGTGGAGGAATGGATTTAGTGTTCATGACCCACCTGTGCTGATCGCTGTAGGAGTGTCCTCCTCTATAAATGTCCCCGTTATTCCATCCTCCTCCATAGACTGCTGATCATCCCTCACATACGCCTCTTCTTCTGATTTCACCTCAACTTTTATATCTGTCAGATCTTCACCCTAAACCAAGAGAAGGAGAGAAAATATCATCTGTAACGTATAAGATAAATCCAGATATTATCTCCACAAGTCCATGTTCTAGATGCTCCATTCCACCAACCTTGTAACAGTGAGGGATGGTGTGACCTTCCTGTGTGGAATCCCGGGAATACAGAGGACGGGGACATCTCTCTGGTGGATTCCCATGACTTGATCCATCTACCTGATGATGGTGAGGGATGGTGTGACCTTCCTGTGTGGAATCCCGGGAATACAGAGGACGGGGACATCTCTCTGGTGGGTTCCCATGACTGGATCCATCTGTAGGAAACACACACACTGACTGAATCCATTGTTTCTATGTGTTTATCAGATGATGGGGGATCTAAGTGGATCCTCCATACTGCTCTCTGCTTTACAATAAAGTCTCCTCTTACCCGGTGATGTGAGGGGCGGCTGATTGTCCATCATGACGTCCTTGTAGAGGTCCTTGTGTCCTTCTAAATACTCCCACTCCTCCATGGAGAAATAGACAGTGACACCCTGACACCTTATAGGAACCTGACACACACACAATGATACAGTGACCATCCAGACACATCCCTTGTCTCTTACTGGAGAATGTCCCAGAATTCCCGCCACCTCTCACCTCTCCTGTCAGCAGATGGACCATCATGGTGGTCAGTTCCAGGATCTTGTTCCTCTCAGGTATCGGAGAACGAGGGGGAGGCACCATGGTGGGGCTCTGGGTCCTGCTCCATCCTCCTGAGATTGGCTCCCCACTGGACATCTTCACTACAACATAATCCTACAAATCAGGAGAAAGAGAAACCGATATCAATCATCTGACATCATCTACATGTCTACAAGAAGAACATGGTCTATTAGCCAGACTAGACCAGAGTGATGTCATGTGACCTCCCAGAATCCTCCTCACCTCTCCGGTCAGCAGGTAGATGATCTCCAGGGTGAGGTTTAGTATCCTCTCAGTCATGTGACTCTGGTCCTCCTCCATCCTCATTGGTCTATACAGGTCTCCTTGTAGACAGATCACTTTGGGAAATGAAAATAAGAATGATTTAGATAGTATCGGTCACACAATGATAGGATGTGGGGGAAGAGGGGGAATAGGAGGGTTGCTGGACATATAGGAGATATGGCCCCCATGGGAACACATTTAGTTTGGACAGTTTAGTGTTGGTTACATCTTGGAGGTCCCGGGACCCTCTTGTCCTGCCGAGTCACAAATTCCCTTTTCTCTGTTGGATCTCTGAACTGGTTTTGATGAGTTTTAGATCTGCAGACAAGGAATGATAAATACGATCCTTCCTATGTCTTGTTTGCTCGGAGGCAGTGCTGTGAGGACAATGTCGGGTCATCATGATGTCCAGGAAGGGGAACTTGCTGACCTTTGGCCAAAGTTGCCGGCTAATCAGGATAATTGGCAGAACTGCGGCTGCAAGGCCCCAATCTCCAGCAGCCTGCTGACAGACAGGAGTGATGTCACTGTCACTCTCTGCAGGAGGAGAAGAGATTGGATAGCAGGAGGAGGATGCTAGTGGAGTTGAGCGCTGTGGGGGAGGAGTCTGTTCTCTTCCCTCCAATGGCAGCCCAGTAAGGGTATGAAGAGGGCAGCAGGGGGAGGGGTTTATTTTCTTGGTGGCCAAGTATGCTGTAGTATCCAGGACATTGTACAGAGTGGTGGTGGGATCCTGAAGTACTCTGTGCTGGCACTGAAGTCCAGCACAGAGTACTTCCAGAACCTGTGTGATGGGAAGGTTTTGGACTGAACCCCCAGATCTACAGCACTGACCCCTGACCACCCGTTAGAGGGGGTTTGTTTCCACAGCATCACCTAAGAACAAGAGCCCACCAAGCGGTGATGGACTGTCTTCTTCAATCCACTTGGTACCCAGGAACATTTTATTTGACCAGTGAGATGGTAAGAAGGTGAAGGTTGCCTCCATTTCCTGGCAGGAGTTCTGTAGGGAGGTCAGAAAAGTAAGTGTAGTTGGGAGGACCATCTATGCCCCCCTCCCTACCATAGAGTCACTTTGAGTCCTACAGCCTCCTCTTCCCTCAGAGCTCTGCCGCCCACCAACCCCATCATGGATCCAGAGTTATTCAGCTACACTTCCCCCTCAGGGGCCCCAAAGACCCTCAAAATGAAGTCTAAAATTAAGAAAACATTCCAGCCCCGTAAGTGGGGAAATGTTCTGCCCCTGAAATGGTTAATCTGGGCTCCCACACTATATTGCCCGAAGTATTGCCCCTGCCCTCCCAATCATGTGATTCAGGTGTTCCAATCCCCTCCATATCATGTGATTCAGGTTTTCCAATCCCCTCCATGGACACAGGTGTATACAATCATGCCCCTAGGCATGCAGACTGCTTCTACAAACATTGGTGAAAGAATGGGTCGCTCTCAGGAGCTCAGTGACTCCAGGCAGGGTCCCGTGATAGGTGGGCAATAAGTCCATCCGTGACATTTCCTGGCTACTAAATATTCCACGCTCAACTGTTAGTGGGATTATAACAAAGTGGAATCAACTGGGAACAACTGCCACTCAGCCACCAAGTGGTAGGCCACGTCACATGACAGGGCGGGGTCAGCGCATGCTGAAGTGCACAGTGCGCAGAAGTCACTAACTGTCTGCAGAGTCAATAGCTAAAGACCTCCAGACTTGGTGTGGCCTTCAGATGAGCCCAACAACAGTGTGTAGAAAGCTTCATGGAATGGGTTTCCATGGCCGAGCAGCTGCATCCAAGCCTTCCATCACCAAATGCAATGCAAAGCGTTGGATGCCGTGGTGTAAAGCACGCTGCCACTGGACTCTAGAGCATTGCAGATGTGTGCTCTGGAGTGACCAATCACTCTTCTCTGTCTGGCAATCCGATGGATGTGTCTGGGTTTGGTGGTGGCCAGGAGAACGGTACTTACCTGACTGCATTGTGCCAAGTTTGGTGGAGGGGAGATTATGGTGTGGGGTTATTCTTCAGGGGTTGGGCTTGGCCCCCTAGTTCCAGTGAAGGGAACTCTTAAGGCGACATTTCGGACAATTTCATGCCCCCAACTTTGTGGGAAGAGTTTGAGGATGGCCCCTTCCTTTTCCAACATGACTGCACACCAGTGCACAAAGCAAGGTCCATAAAGACATGGAGGAGCCAGTTTGGGGTGGAGGAACTTGACTGGCCTGCACAGAGTCCTGACCTCAACCCCATAGAATACCTTTGGGATGAATTAGAGCGGAGACTGCGAGCCAGGCCTCCTCCCCCGACATGAGTGCCTGACCTGACAAATGTGCTTCTGGAAGAATGGTCCAACCTTCCCATAGACACCCTCCTAAACCTCGTGGACAGCCTTCCCAGAAGAGTTGAAGCTGTTATAGCTGCAAAGGGCGGGGCCAAACTCAATATTGAACAATACGGACTAAGACTGGGTGGCCATTAAAGGTCATGTGTGTGGAAAGGGCAGGGCCAACTCAATATTGAACCCTACAGACTTAAGACTGGGGGGCCATTAACCATTAGCCGCCCAGCCAATGGCCGTTTGGCGGCTTCAATTGTGTCCCTGCATTCCGGGTGCACGCCATTTGGCGTGCTCCCGCACATGCGCCGTTTGCGCTAATGCAGAGCCGCGCAGCAGTGCGATCTGTCAGCGGCCGTGCACCTCGGACACGGCCGATGGCAGATCCGAGTACCGGCTCCCGTTGCTGGTACCATGTGACCTGCTGTGACCAATCACAGCAGGTCACATGACAGTTGTATACAATGGATGGCTTCATTCATGATGCCATCCATTGTATACTAGTGCCTAGCTGTGAATGGTCACAGCTAATCACATGCACATGTCATGTGATTAGCTGTGACCAAATCACAGCTAAGCACAAAAAAAAAAAAAAAAAAAAAAAAAAAAAAAAAAAGCTGAATGAATCAGTCATTCAGGTAAATGCTTGCTTATAGCAAAGTAATTCTTTGCTATAAGCAAATTGTGTAAAAAAAAAAAAAAATACTGATCACTTCCCCAAAGTAGTACAATGTTACTATGGTAACATTGCACTACTGTGGTCAAAGTAAAATATGAAAAAAAAATCTTAAAAAAAATGTAATAAAAAATTAAATATAATAAAAAAATTAATTATAATATATATATTTTTTTTCATACTGTCACCAGTCAGTGTCCCTGTTCACAGCCATGCCAGTTATATGATGACGCTGTACTGCACTGGTGACAGTATGTAAAAAAAAAAATAGTGAAAATAATTTTTTTAATTTTTTCATTTTCCGAAAAATTATGACAAAAAAATACAACTTCAAAAAACTCGCCATGCCTCTTATGAAGTACGTCGGACTGTCTACTCTGCAAAAAGGGGTCATTTGGGGGATATCTGTACT